GAGGCCGCCATCGAACCTTGAACGTTACACTGCAGGGCAGGCAGTAGTAGCCCCAGAGTAGGGGGGTAAGTTACCAGGCGGGGAGAGAATTTTGGAGGGCAGGGCAAGGTTTCTGGTTCAGACACTGGACCGGTACTGACCGGTACGATACGACAGCGGACGTTATCAGCTACGGTCCGGGAATAACGGGGGTAAAGGCGGCAAGTAATGGTACGGTACATACAGTACATACGGTACGCGGTCACACTTGCTGTCGCCAAACTCAAAAGTTCAGGCAGAGAAAGGAACGCGGGAGAGCAGCACAGCTCACCATGCCGAGAAAAACTTGGAGAAAACCTGGGCGTGGGAGACGGAGTCGGAGCCGGATACGGGGCGGAGTCGGTAGGACTAGGAACAAAGACCATCGAAACTCTTAGGCAGTTTGGCCCTATTAATTCTGCAAGATTACGCGATGCGGTCTAGCGTTGCTTTGTTTGAAGAAAACGGTCCATCCTTGCGGATTCTTAGTACGGCTTCATCATTTGCTGGTCGCTAGCACATGAGTCAGGTGAAGCTCCGGAAAATGCGGGGTCCGGAGTTCAATCATTCAATCAATCAATGCTGTATGCGAGATGAGGTTACCTACAAGTGCTTGGTCTAATTGACTACCCTAACAATTGACATGCATGTTGCCTAATTGTCCGATTGCTTCATGTCTGCTCTTGGCGAGCTTCGAATGGCGTCTTTGAGAACACAAGCCGGACAGTAGAAAACCAAGATGACGATATCTTGCTGCACTGAAGCCTATTCTCATACTGGGGACAGAAGACCTACAATACTGTGCCGCTGTGGAGCAGGGTCTTGTATGGCTCGCTGGCTATACACACTCAAGCATGAGCTGATATCAGGCTTCAACGGCCACGCAGACTCAGTCCCGATCACGAGAGCACGAGGCGCACCACGTTACACCCTTTAAACCATACGATGCGGACCATGGGTTCCTCGAATTCAGAAAGCGTTGCTCGTTCCTGTTTCTCGTTGGCGGCGTCACTTGCTCTCGCAGGCACTAACTTAATATTGGCTCCGAAACAAACGAAACTGCGATCTTCGGCCCAGTCCTGCTTTCCCTGCTCCTCCACAGTCGGTCGGACCTTGCATGTCGAGGTGCGGCTTGGTAAGCTGCTTGAATAGACGCCATGGGATCCGTCAGGCCGGCGCGACAGCGAGCTTAGGCAGTGGCGTTAACTAGAGCCTATTATGGCTAGTTCGCAAAGCTTGTCATAGTAGCTGTTTTTGGCGCGATTTGAATAGCCGACCCCAATTGTAGCATAGTTTGCAGGATGCGGTATGGCAACCCGATCCACGGAGCTTGTGCTAGTCGCTTGGTCGCGGGACACAAGGTATTTCGAGCGGTATACAAGCTTCTCATCATTGCGCAGTCTTTCGAGGCCGGCGCAATGTCCTGGGTCTTTCGCAGGATAGAGTGAATATGGATATCAGGATGGATAGTGGCTGCCCACCCGTCATGAGACGACTGTACGGTTTCATGGGCAGGAGAGAATGTTTGTATGGTTCGATTGGTCGCAAGTGCCTATATTTGATATGGATATTAGCAAATGTCTTCAACTCAGGTCAACGAATGATGCAAAACGTAGTTTGCTCCAAGTCGTGGACTGCGTTCTCTAGCCAAGAGGCGTTGATGACTCAAGAGCTGGGAACCTCGACGAGATGCCCACATATTACAATGGCGTAATCTCAAAGTGGCACCCATTACAGTCAGACCAAGAGGTGTGAATTGATGACGAGGTGTCGATGAGTCGTGCAATATCTGGAGACTCGAATCTCAAATTCATGATGTCCCCGATATTCGATTGTTGATCGATTAAGCAATCTATGGCTGTCCGATTCCCGCCAATTCCGCATCACGTGATTCGATCTCTCTTCCATCGCTGCCTTCTTCTGTTGTTCGCATGCATACTCTGTTGATACCTTTCTTCTTTCCTGGCCTGGCTATCAAGTTCACAATCGGACTATATACGTGCTCAGTGAGACCTTCTTATCACTTTTGCAACATCTGTCTTGCCAGCCCCAAATGACCATCGCAAACTCTCCTTGTTTGTAACTGTATTGTACACATCGTTGTCGAGAGGTATAAAACCGATCCACAGGACGGCCCGACGGCCTGCGACGCTGCGTGAACCACCCCATCAACTCCTGCAGCTGCAGAAGCAAGGAGATCAGACAATTGCTCGGTTGAGAAGGGGCCCGGCGTTTAACAGACCTCGCAGATCCTTGCTGTCCACGCGAAATTCACCTTGAAACCCCCACCTTGGCCTTTGACTGTCATTCGGCGATTCGAGCTCACGCTCTTCGACTCATATTTATGCGGTCATTTGTCCGACAAGTCAGTGGGGAATAGCAAACACCGCATACCTTGAGGATCGGCATTTGATTACCAAGAACAAGTGATCGTCCCCCATATGGCCGCCATGACTAGTCACTTCTGTAATCCCCAAGCGTTTGTTAGCACAGTTCACAACCCCTCTTCTTCCCACGGCGTCAGACTAAATTGACTAGGCTTGCTCCACCTTCGTTGCTGACTAGTCTCGACTAGCAGTGCTTGCGAGACCACGACATGATTGATCACTATGCGCAAGTGAGAGGTATTGGCAGTCCGTGTAACATTGGCAATGTGTGGCAGGGATGCCAGACGGTTGACTGCATTGACTACTCATTCACACATCCGATTTCACCCGTCGCCCCGGGGCCAAGACAAGGGAAACAGGCGTGTCGGTAGAATTCCATCTCAGCTTTTCTGTTGAAAAGATTACAGCATCAAAACACCTCTTCCTCACATCAGACCAGCGATACTCGGTTAGTGTTAGGCCCCCATGCGGATCCATCCTCGTTTTTTCCCAGCGCTTGATACGGATGTCAAAAGAACACTACTTGGTTTCCATAGTGACCTAGTGTCCCCGCTTGTTGGAGGATGACTGAGAGATCCTCCTCTGATCCTCGGAGTAGCACCGACTTAAATCAACAGGGTCATTTCATGCTTTAGGTTGCGAAAGACAGGAGGTCTCTGATTCGTCCTAACTCCCGACATACGGTACATGAGCTAGGGGAGAACTAAACATGCAAATCGAGTCAGAGCGCGCACATCGACCTTCCCCTCAGATACCTAGAGTGTCATGCACCAACCACTCTTTGGCCGAATTCGGACAGACAGACACTATGCTTAATCGGCTCTAAGCCTTGATAGCTATTCCATCCTGCCACGACGATCAGAAGATCTCGGTGCCCTCATTGGTCGGAACAGACCAGTCATCCCTTGCGGACTGCAGCTAGATGATGCATGGATGGGCTTGCACAACTGGTCCAGACTACTATTTTTCCTCCTTGCCACGCCACGCCATGCCATGAGGTCAGCCAGGTGGTTGCGCTAATGCACAGCTGGAAAGCTCAGATTGAGATCACCATCTTCTATGTCTGACATGTGCGTACTAGCAAGCTCGCGTGTGTACTGGACATATCGCCTACTGCAGTGAAAGGGGCCAGGCCTCTCTAGGTCCAATCGTTTTGGGCTGCATATACTTCAGCAAATGCCCGAATACTACGTAACTAGGCAGTTCAAGGTAAAGTCCCTTCTTCCTTCATGTACGGCAGCGGGCTCAACTGTCCCACGCATATATTCTCAGTACTTGCCTACCCTACTGCTCAAATTGGCCGGTCTGAAAACTTCTCACATCCCTGTCACCAATCCCGGACATCCGACTGTGGCAGAAATTAACCGCTGTACTAGATCCTCCGGTTGCACAACGTTCAAGCGAGCTAAGCATACGGCTTCGATATAGTCAGTATAGGAAGGCCCATCATGGCCCCTGGCGAGGAACTTCCCACTAGGAAGAATGCCATCCCACGCCAATATAGGCGGATGCATGCAGCAGGCACTGCCAGGCCGTGAACAAGTGGTGGTCCATGGCGCAATCGACAACAGCGATATCTCACGCTGACCACAGTAAGCCAGTCAAATTTTTGTTTGTCCTTGATAACCCTGCGGTCCCTTGTTCTACTAGTCCTGCCACTGGCATCTGACATTACTGTACAGTATGTACATACAATACAATTATTTGCCACCACGCTCTCGCCATGCTGCCAGCCGATGATTGCATGCGAGTGTTTGCGCGTGGGGTCCAGGTTCCGGGGTCCGGGGAGAATGGAACACGGGAGCTCATGGCGTGGGCTCGGCTGGTTGTGCAGATGAGATGGGGAAAGCCCTCCCTCCCCTCTTTCGCCCGAGTAACTGTACAAGAGGCAGAGGATGACAAGTGAGGGGTGTAAGAGCGTAATCGGATGCAGTAGTCATTTTTCGAATTCAAGTAAGCCAAGATCTTACAGCAGGTGGGTTGGGTAGCACAGAAGATATCCGACTAAAGAGTAAACCCAACCCGTCCAGTCATCGCAAGAAAAGCCTGGCAGGCGGTCATACAGTGAGACGGTTGCGCCTCTCCTCCCCAGTACACACCTACATAGACACATACACATCGACAATGGATTTGCCTCCTCCTACCGACCGGCTTTGCTTATCGGTTAAGCTTACTGGAACCCCATTGGCCCGACTTTCCCCCCTTCACCTCATCGTTACTGATCTTCACATCAGCCAATTCCTCTTGTGCAGACCTGAGCTGTGCATGTATATTTATTTTGGTCTGTATGTAGGCTTGCCGACTGGCTGACTGAACGACTAGCCTGGCGTGGACCAGCCTGGCTGACCAACCGACGAAACGACTGACAAAAGAACAAAGAACCCACTCTCGACCTAAACCCATGTATGCGGTGTGTGTGCATGTAGCTTGCTAGAAGGAGACTAGATTCAGTGAACCCCGGGGTGTTCCTATCTATTAATTCTAATTACCAATATTCTCAACAGATCTCAATGCTAGTCGGGTATTGAATGATTTCTTTTTTTCCCTTCGGGCCAAAGAACAAAAAAAAAGGAACAACCGGGAAGAAAGAGAAGTCTACCCATCGCGCCACCAGCGACCCAACGACCCGCCCGTGCCAGCCATCTCGACCACCTCGTCGAAGCTAATCTCCACCCGGAACATGCGCGCATCCGTCGTGCCGCTGCCGCTGCCGACGGGGCTGATGAGGCCCCAGCTGACGAGTTTCTCCCACGCCTCGCGGGCGACATCCCGGCCCCAGACGCGGCCGGGGGTGACGGCCGCGCCGGACACCGAGGCCGAGGTCTTGGCCGAGGTGAGCAGGCGCACGTACTCGGCGTAGGCGGCGGGGAAGGAGAGGGCCAGGGGCCCGGATCCGGATCCGGATGGGGTCTGGACGCTCTCGAGGCCTGGGTCGTAGAGCGCGGCGAGGCGGGTGGCGGCGAGAAGGAGGGAGAGCGGGAGAGAGGATGGGCTCGCGGAGGCGGTGATCGTGGGGGCGAAGGGTAACGGGGCTGGATCGGGGCAGGCGAGCGGGTGACTGGTGAACGTGGTGGCGGTGGGGATGGTGAGCTGGGAGTTGTTGCCGCCACCGTTGGTGTAGGTGCTGTGGTGCAGTTCGCTGATGGCCACCAGGGCGCTGGTGAAGAACTCCTTCACGGATCGGGTTTGGTAGTAGATCCGTCGTAGGTGAGCGGAGAATGCTTCGTCGGTCCATAGGTTCTGTATTGTGTTTGTGGGTTAGTGATGTGGGTTTTGGTGGGAAGATGGGGAGTCAAATTCACCTGTAGATACGTCCTCCATGCTGCGAGGATTCTTCCCCAGCCCTCGGACTTGAGGATCGCTTGCTCAGCAGGATCCGCGTCTTCCAGCAGGTCCAAGACCTCGTCGTCCTCGAGGTTGAGACCCGCGAAGCAGATGTCGGAGAATACCTCGAGGCTTCGTGGAAGAGGTACGTAGACGTAACGATGACTGAAGCGACTCTTGACGCGCTTTTCCAGCATCTCTGTTACTTCCACCTTGGTGGTGAGTCCCAGGACCGCGATGGGGGCCTTGCGCGCTTGCGCAATGTCGAACAGGTTGTACAGAAGCGTCTGGCGAGGGTGTGTCACGAAGAGATCGAACTCGTCCAGGATGATGACGATCGACTTGGCGGCAGTCGCGTTTTCGGGGTCTGATGAAGGGCCAAAGAGCTCCTCGTGATGGGATAGGAGCGCCAACAGAGTGGCCATCGTATCGGCATAGCTACTGACCTTGCCGGCTTCATCCTCGGTGTTCGTCTCGCGACCAAGCTGGCGCCACATCTCCCGGAGCGCCAGTCGGTCGTCCGTGTGTAGAAAGCCGTTGAGTCGGACGACGTGGAAATCGTTCTTATGCGACCTCCTCAGCGTCGCGATGATCGTCTCAAGAATGGCCGTCTTCCCGCTGCCGCGCGAGCCGAGAAGCAGCATCGAGTTACTCTCGCCGATCGAGACCGTCTGCTCAACGAGCTGGTTGACCTTGTCGAATTCTGTCTCCAGCCCCTTGAGAGGCACCCTCTTTTTCCCGTTCAACTTCTCGAGGACAACCTGGGTAAGAAATCGTAATTCTTTCGTCAAGCCCGTTTGGACGATAGACTGGAACTGTTCGGCATACGCAGGAAGCGGACCTTCTTTCGCAGCCGTCTGATCGACTTGGACTGAGTCACTATTGGTAAGATCCTCCTGCAATTGCATTGAAACGAGGTCTTCCAGTCCATCCTGGTAGTCATCTGGGTTCGAGGACTCTCGGGACTCCTCCCTGCCTTTCGCTGAAGCCCCTTTCACGTCCGAGGTATCAAACCGCACCGAAGGCTTCTTCGCTCTGGTGGATCGAGTGCGCCGCTTCTGCGGCTCCGGAGACTCTTCGACCTCCTCCTCCTCCTCCTCC